GGACGGACGGACGGACGGGTAAGAGGACGGACGAGCAAGTGGACGGGTGGGTAGGCGAGGGGACGTGCAGGAGAACGAGCAGACGGGCGGGTGGATGAGCAGGCGGGCAGGTGAGTCCAAGAGTGGGCGGATGAACTGGCGGGGACAGGGTGTGTCGCGCCGACAGCGAGCACACAGGGCGAAGACCCTGCGTGCAAATGCAGCTGACGAACTTACAGCACGCGCACGGACCAACCGAATAGGTGGGGACAGGGCACGCCACCACATATAACACGCCCACCGTGAGCGCGCCGGGCCAATGCCCAGCATGCACACACGGCCGACGAACGCGTACGCAGGCGGGCAAACAGGCGGGCGGGCCCAGAAGCGGGCGACAACACGCACGCCGCCCACGAGCGCACGGGGCAAATGCCCAGCACGCAAGCGTGACCAACGAACGAACCGCCCGTGCGTGAGCGAAGGACAGCAAATGGCGACGGTGAACAGGGCCGGGTCGTGCGCAACACGCCAACCACGAGCACACAGGGCCAGGGCCCGGCGTGCAAACGCAGCTGACGAGCGCGCCGTGGGTACGGGAGCAACAGCGAGCACGTCGGAGAGCGTGCAGATGGTGCGTGAGAAGCAGGGACGTGCGAACACACGAATGCGAGCGAGCAGGGAGGACGGGGAGGACGGCGGGTGCAGGCAACAAGCCGACACCCGCGCAGGTATCACCGAGGTACCCCAACCCGCGGTCCACCGCCAACACTGGCAGTGAACCCGGGTAGGGTACGGGTAACACCGCCCGCGGGTACGGGTACCCGGGTCGCGGGTGCGGTATACGCCCTGCGCACCCGCGGTGGTACCCGTGTCCATCCCTACGCGGCGGCATGAGTGGACGCGCAAACTAATGGGCGAGTGGGCAGGCGAGCGAGGGATCAGGCGGGCGGATGGGCTGGCAGATGACAGCACTGGTGGCGACAGCACACACCGACCGCGAGCGCTCTGGGCGAATTCCTAGCACGCAGACACGACCGGCGAACGCACACGCAGAACCGCGGAAACACGGCCGACAAGCGAACCACGGGCGCATGAGCAAAGGGTGGGTGATGACCACAGAGGTGGATGGTGGGCGAGGATGGGTCGGTGACAACGGGCAGGGCCAGCAGACGGGAACGCGACACATGGTGACTGCGAACACGACGCACGCGGCGATTGCGAGCGGATTTAGGGCGAGGGCGAGGACGGAGGGCACGGCAAGGGCAGGGCACGGGTGAGGGCCAGGGGGGTGGTAGAAACACGCGAGAGCGAGCGAGCAGGAGGGGGCAAGAAAACGGTAGGCATAGATGAACCCGCGGTTCACCGCCAACACTGGCGGTGAATCCGGATAGGGTCTGGGTAGCACCGTACAAGGCCTACACGGTTGGAGTTGGGTCCCTTTTACTAGATTTTTGCCAGCTTTGGTCGGCTCTAGTCGACTTGAACCGACTATAACCGACTTTTGTGAAGTTAGGTTATAACTAGCTTATGACCGGCTATATCAATTAGTCAAGCCTAGCTCGACCGAATCTAAGATAACTAGCTAGGTTACATTAAGCTGCCAAGAAAGTCCGCAAAATATAAGACTATATATGGTTATGGGCTAGTTTCTAAGTCCGTGCATCACTAGTCTGGCCACCCGTCTGCCGCCCGTCCGTTTGCTCGCCCGCCCAACTGCTCGCCCAACTACTCGCTAGATCGCCAGCTTCTCCACTAGTTCGCCCGCCCGCACCATCGCTCGCTTGCCTGCACGGTAGTTCGCCCATCTGCTCGCCTACTAATTCGCTTACCTGGAGTCGGCAGCATGCAACCCGTCGCATCCGGGTGCGGCGGGCTGAGGCTTGGCCAGTGCATGCCTACTGGGCCTGTGCTGGCGTTACTTGAGCGCACGCGCACCGGGACTATCTCCGTCGTGTTCGTCTCCGTTGTGTTCGCCTCCGTCCGGTCGTCGTCGGTGAGCGTTCGCTTGTCGGGTCGACTATGGGATCGAGGTGACAAGCGTGGCACTCACCTGTATCGCTGGCCCTGCTGGCCATGCCCGCTTCTCCTCCCTGCATGACTCTCCTGTGCGAGCCTCCAGCAACGCCTTTGGCAGATCGCTGGAGCTCGTTACAGTCGTGTACAGCGTGGTCTTGAGGCGTGCAGCGAGCCGATGCGTGCGCCCCGATTCTTTCGGATGAGCTCGCTTGTGTGTACCAGAGCTCGGTGGCGAGCAGGCCAGAGTTGAGGGCGGGACGGGGAGGACTCGGAGGACATGAGGGGAAGGGCAGTGATTGGAAGTGGCAAGCGTTGGGTGGCGCAGCCTCGGCGCTTAGGACTTCTCTTGCGGACTCGACCCACTCATAGCGACAGTCCCAGACCTACCTGTGCCGCCTCCCCTGGACGAGGACGATGAGATCGCTGGTGCAGCGTTGCCATTGGATGGCACACAACATCCTAGGTGGGTATTGCGGCCTGATCCCTAGCTAGTAGCGCTGACACCATGTGCTGCAACCTCTCGCAGCACAACACCGCGGTGGACGTCCTGCTCGTGTCAGCCCCGAAGACGCCTGTCACGCCTCCGCCTCCTACTACGAGGCGGGTGATGCGGTCGATGGCGGCGCAAGACCTCGACGAGCTTCGCGTCCTCGCACGCACGACTTGCTCGAGCTGCGTGACGCCCACCGCTCACTGTCTCGCGATGTCACTGAGCTGAGAGATGCTCACAACGCGGTCGTAGCGTCGACGGACTCGACCACCACAAAAGTTCGACTCCTGCAGGGCGGGGGCGTGCGGGTACGTACTCATTCGCCATCTCCTTGTTCCATCGACGCAGCAGTGATGCCACCGTCTCCCCGATATCCAAGAGTATACTCGCCACCCACCCAACCTGCCCTGCAACATCCTTCTCGGTGCGCTCGAGATGTTCCACCGAGGACCCCTGCCCCCGTTCATCCCGACGAATGGACCATCTCGCGTCCACCGGCCGATGGAACAGCCGGCCCCAGTGCTGCCGTAGGTCCCGCTCCCGTTGCCTGAGGTCCCGCTCCCCGCGCCGCCGGAGGTCCTGGAGGGCCTGCTCCTCGTGGTGCCTGAGGTCACGCCCGCTCCCCGGAGTACGACAATGACACCGCGCAGGACGGGCCGCCGTACAAATGCGTGAAGCGGAACGGATGGACGAAAAAGAGGTGTGACGGTCAAGCACAGACGTCGACGAGACCGGAACATAGCGCGGTGGCGACCACCGCAGGGCCTTCACTCGCTCGAAGCTCGAATACGTCTGCGACTCGTACCCACGGTAATCACGCAGGTCCTCTTCGGCAAGATGGCCTGGAAGGCCAGTGTCGTGCGTCAACAGTCCTGAATGTCACGTCGATCGTCCGTGCAGGAAACCGTATCAAGGACTCGTCCATCCTCGGTGTCTTCCTGGAGAGTGAGGTTTCATCAGTCCGTGCCCTGTTCCGCTCTAGGGAGGAGGCCGTCGCCTTCGAGAAAGCCTGGAATCGCGCACCCAGAGACTTCCCTTCCGTTCGTGCGAAGGTTGTGCAGTAGTCAGTTACTACTACTATACGTCTCAAATCAAAATGCTAAATATGCGACCCTAGCCCGCCCGCGAGCGATGCTCATATACGCGTGGCGTGCTGGAACGTACATGGCAATCTGCCTTTTAATTTGAGGTGTGACCGGTTCCGGAATGCCCTCGCCCAATTCGACGTCGTAAGGCTACGACTGCTGTGTAGCTGGGCGAGTCGATACACCGTCGTTCAATGCGCCGGGCGGGGTCCTTGCCGCACTGGTGCGAGCAGGTCCTTCGTGTGTACACCATCCGGAACTGGGGGGGTCCGAGGTTATGGTCCTGCGACTACCAGGGCTGTGGCTGCTGAATGCTTACATCCCTCCACCCCACTCTCACTGGTACACGCTGTCTGCCCTTGGCCCATCTGAGCTCCTGGAGCGGGCACTCGCTGTTACCACCAGGGATCCGGAAGTCCCAGTGGTACTCGCAGGCGACCTAAACGCTCGCACAGGGACAGTGTCCGCCTTCCAAGAGACCTGCCGGTCTTCCCCAGATGACGCACCTATCTCGCAGCATGGCCGTGCACTGCATCAGCTATGTCGGGACTACGGCCTTGACATCTTGAATGGGACTCACCTACAGGATGCAGATAGCTTGTCGATGTTCGCGTCGTTCCGGGCACTCGGGTGCACGGTGATCGACTACGCAGTGGCCTCCCTGCAACTCATCAGTAGCGGAAACGTTCGCCTGCGCATTCTGGAGCACTGGCCTGAATGATCAGACCATGCATCCCTATGTATGGTTCTCGATCAGCGGCTCGCGGTGTTACCGGTATCCTCGACAGGACGGCGGGAGACGGAGAGAGAGGGTGATAGCGACGCATTGCAACTCGAATGCATTCCCATCTGTGGATCAGCCTACGCTATGGGCTAAGCTCCACGCGGCAGGTTTCTCGGGACCACTGTTTGACTGGCTGTGGATGCTCTACGCCCGACTGCGGTATGTCGTCCGCGCAGACGGCCGCATGTCTGACTTCTTCCGAGCAGCGGCGGGTATCCTCATAGGTGATCCTGCATCACCGATCCTCTGGATCCTCTTCCTGGCAGACCTCCGCATCTCTGATCACGAAGATGACATCCGGCTAGGAGGGGTATGTGTATACCTCGAGCAGGCAGACGACATCGCGCTCTTCTCTACCTCGTTGGCGGCTCTGCAACGAAAAATGGATGAACTGGCGCGGTGGTGCTCGCTGAACTTTGCGACGATCAATGCCTCCAAGACGCAGCTGATGATCTTCGGCCCACTCCCGTCGTCACCCCCATCACTCATGGTGAATGGCAAGCACATCACCCTCGCCGACAGGGATACTTACGTTGGCACAACTTTCCTGTCGACCTCGCGAGACATCTTCTCCGCGCATGTTGACCGTCATGTAGCGATCGCTCGCCGGACGGCGAATGCAAGCCTGTCGGTGGAATCGTATGTGATGACGTGTTATACTAGGTTGGGTAATATCCCGACTCTGTGCGTCGAGTATACCGAGAACGCGCTTGACCTCGTTATCGAGAACTTCGCGCTCAGCGGGGGTCTCTTCCCGAACCTCGTCACCGTCGAGGCGCACAACTTCATGAGGTTCTCGCCGTACAATGACATTCAAGAGGAGAGCCCTCGCGAGTTCATGCTCACATTCCGCCAGATCCAGGCGGACATGCGCGACGTTTCATTCTACTTCCGCAACAAGAGTGGGCTCCCAAAGCTCAGTGACTCGGGCATCGCAGACGTGATTCTTGGCGGGCATGCTCTCACTGTCACCGCGCGAGTTGCGAGCTCAAGCAAGGATCGCTCATCTGCCCTCTACGTACGTCGCACCATCTCTCGTAGTCATCACAGTACCAAACTGACTTACCGAATTGCAACAGCTCAAAGTCGTGCAAATCAGGTCAACACACTCAAATTTTCAATATTGAAGACAGCAAGCACGACCTCCTGCAGGTGCAGAACACGATCACGATCACAGTGCGCACAAGCCTGGAGTACGTCGATGGCCAGCTCGTGACGGTGCGCGACTGCATGGACGCCGCGAAGGTGGACGGGAACGGGACACAGGCGCTGCAGGACGTAAGTTGCATCTGTCCTCTTTCGTCATTGGGAGGCACAGGGACTGACATGTCTCCACAGCTATTGCAGCATAAGGACGAGGGCGGACGCGAAGACGGGCACTTTCAAGGTCTTGTTGAAATGTGACTCGGCCATTCTGCAGGATGATGTCGGCCGCCACGAGAGCATGGCGAATCGAGCGCAGTCACGGTCGGACAAGGCGACGAAAGGAGAGACGTGGCACTCAGCGGCGTTCACGATCATTTGAGCTCGTCTTATGCTCATGTCGTCCCAGGCCTGTCCAGACATCTGACTCTGCGTCTTTGCGATCTTGGTCTCACATCTACATGCCCATAAGTAACGAGATCCAGATACGCTACGCTTCGAGTGTCGTCAAAAAATAGGCGGTTGACGCGGCGCGTTCCGTGGTAGACAATAGTAGGAAATGGTGTATCATGTTCGTCCCGACCATCACGCCGGCGAATCAGAAACTCATCTAAGTCCCACCCGAGCCCAAGGGTAGTGCCGGACCCACCGGGCTTCTCTCCTCTATTCAGACTTTGAGTCCTAACACTGGCTGAGAATGCTGCTGAGGCGACTGTCACACATTATTCAGTGGTACCTACTCGATACTAACGGTACAGCCGGAGTGCATTTCGACCGTTGCAAACGGTAGAGCCGCCTCCGGCCGGAGCTGTGATTTCCTTGTTGCAAACAGGCCGGCCGGACTGGTTTCAAACAAGCCGGCCGAGCATATCTCAAACCAGTTCAAACGGTCCGGCCGGTGTATCCCTAGGGCACCTATTTTCTGTCTGAACAGGGGGGCCATTTAGTGTCTTGCTGGCAATGGACCGGCCGGGCAATAAGGGGTTTTAATTGTAACAGATCAACCAGGATACTCTTTCTCCTATGGTAACGAACCGGCCGGGAAATGGGATCCTTCATTTGTAATGGGCCGGCCGGAGTGCATAGTTCACCAGTTGCAATGGGCCGGCCGGAGCACATGCTCCCTGGCTAATAACAGACCGGCCGGGTTGCATCATCTCTTGCTGGCAACGGAGCGGCCGGACCATTTTTCCACATTGATAGCAGGCTAGCCAGGCCATATAATCTAGCACTCCACACTGGTAACGGTCCGGCCGGGCAGTGGCACCATCCATTGGTAATGGTCCGGCCGGGCAACAGTATTGTGTCCCAATATTGGCTGGGCCAGTCAACAATAGACCATACTCCCTTAGAACAGCCTACTAGTAGCATGTATTATATGTCCACAGTGCATGCCCTATCACATTGCCTGAGCTGTTAGCTCACTGGCCAGCCATGAAAACACTGGCCGAGGGCATTCAAAAACCTTCGGCCTATTGTATTATGATACAGAGTGTGATTTGAATCATTGTATATGTAAGACCATCACTAATGGAGCCCAACATAGTGTTCCCACATTTTAAAGGGGCTTAGTGAAGCTGCCACCAGCCAAATCAATAGGCCGGACATTTCAAACCATTGGCCGGGCATTTTAGTTCATTGGCCGAAGCTTTCAATTCACTGGCCGAAGCTTTTACTTCATTGGCCGAAGCTTTTACTTCATTGACCGAAGCTTTTCCTTCATTGGCCGAAGCTTTTCTTAACCGGCCGAAGCTTTTCTTAACCGGCCGAAGCTTTGGATTGACCGGCCGAAGCTTCTACTTCACCGGCCGGCAAAAACAGCCGGTGCTCGGCAAAAAATGGCCGGCCGGTGGGCAAAACCAGCCGGGCTGTTGAATTACTATATGTGGAAATGTGGTATTGTCTGGGAGCCCTTCATTCGCAGAGTCTAGTATCAATTTCCTAGTTTTCAAGAACACATAGTTAGGCCAGGATATGCAAGACAAGATTTACTACTCACAGGCTTCTTTGCACAACATGTTATTCAATTCCTGAAGCCAATATTCTTTGCCCACACTGTTTGACAATCTATAATGTGTTATCACAATGCATAGAGTAGATCCCCAAAAGGAATAGTCTTATTCTTTGAAGCTGAATGCAGGACAACAAATAAGGGGTATACAGGTATGGTATACATGTTGACTTCCTGCAGCTAATGTTCTTTCCAAACAGTGTTTTACCATCTAGAATAGTTCATTGACCCACAAGGAATCAGTCCTCCAAAGGAATAGTCTTATTCACACAAGCTGAAGGCAGCACAGAGTTAAGGTGAGGGTGGGTATATGGGTATACATGTTATACTGTGTTCACATCCTGAAGCCAATATGCTTTGCCCACAAGGTTTGGCAATCAAGAATGGCACAGAAACATCTACCCACTGTTGGTAATGGTCCGGCCGGCCAATCCTCATAGGAGATGGTCCGGCCTGTGCATGATCCGAGTCCCCTTAACTCTGTACCACATTCAGCTCATGTGAATAAGACTATTCCTTTGGACGACTCACTCCTTGTGTGTAAATGAACCATTCTAGATTGTGAAACTGTGTTTGGAATGTAGATTGGCTGCAGGAAGTCAACATGGTTTGACATGTATACTATACCTTACCCCTTATCTCATGTTCTGCATTCAGCTTCGAAGAATAAGACTATTCCTTTTGGGAATCTACTCTATGCATTGAAATAACATATTCTAGATAGTCAAACAGTGTGGGCAAAGAATATTGGCTTCAGCAGTTGAATAACATGTTTTGCAAAGAAGCCTGTGAGTAAATCTTGTCTCACATATCCTGGCCTAACTATGTACCTTTGGACACTAGGAAATCAATACTAGACTCTATGAATGAAGGGCTTCCAGACAATACCACATTTCCACATATAGTAATTCAACAGCCCGGCCGGCCATTTTTTGCCGAGCACCGGCCGTTTTTGCCGAGCACCGGCCGTTTTTGCCGGCCGGTGAAGTAGAAGCTTCGGCCGGTCAATCCAAAGCTTCGGCCGGTGAAGAAAAGCTTCGGCCAATGAAGTGAAAGCTTCGGCCAGTGAGAAAAAGCTTCGGCCAGTGAGAAAAAGCTTCGGCCAATGAACTAAAATGCCCGGCCAATGTTTTGAAATGTCCGGCCTATTGATTTGGCCCTGTAGGGACAACCTGGCTAATTTTATGGCCAGTAAAGCAAAAACCTGGGTGAGTGAAATCTCTGGCCAGTTAATTTGGCCAGCCAGTGGGGCTGTTTTGTGTTTTGCAGCTTCACTAGGCATCCCTAAGTCATGGGAAAATTATGCTGTGATCTACTAATGATGGTATACCCCATAGGTGCATAATACATATAGTATTTCAATAGCCCCCAGGGGGCTGTGACCGGCCGGACCGTTTGAAGCAGGACAACTCCTGCCCGGCCGGCCTGTTCGTGGAGTCAGTTTGTTTAGGCTGGCCAACCCATTCTGGACCAGATAGACTTCACTCCGGCCGGTCCGCTTGCAATGAAAGGATTTTATCCTGGCCGGAACATTTGAAGTGGTGGGGCCTGAGTCCGGCCGCTCTGTTTGCAACGTGGACCGGCCGGCCGCTCTGTTGCATGTGCTAACCCTGCCCTCCACCCGGCCTGTTTGCAGTGATGTTGTATGGGTCCGGCCGGACCGTTGCCTATCCAGCCGGACTGTTTACAACAGGTACATTACCCCGGCCAAAAGCCCGGCCGGCCTGTTGCAAGCGGTGCATTGTTGCTAACGGTAGACCCGGACTACTCCGGCCGGAGGCGGCCCTACCGTTTGCAACGGTCGAAACGCACTCCGGCTGTACCGTTAACAGCGAGGTTTTCCACTGAATGGGCTCACTGTCAGTGCACACAGAGTACAGTGCAGTGTATAGGAGCAGCAACGCGAGTGAAGAGGCCACGAACACCGCACATGATGCTGAAGCCCGTTATACATCGGGCGCAGGTAAGCACGTCTTTTCCTCTACATGCTCTGAAAGCCGAAATGTCTGGACTTCAACTTGCAGAATCATGCATCGTCAATCATGCACCTACCATGGGCAGCAGCAGTGAACAACCTACAGTCGAGAAACATGCATGTGCATGTACGGTACCGGAACTAAGCAGGACTGTACAAGGTAAACTTTTTGTTTATTCGTTGTAGGGCGAATTCTCAAAGTCTGAGTACTACACTGCCGGGTTAGCGGCGCGGCCTCCTAGGCCGTGTCGTAAACTTGCTGCGGGGCCGTATGACCCTGCCTCGAGGAATAATCAACATCAACAGGAATCGGCTCACTTCCCACTGCCGCCTTGTCCCAGGCGAGGCATCCAGTGGATAGCCTGTCACGTTCAGCCTCGCGCGGCTAGGGATCTCAGATGGCTTCAAAGCCGCACGAAGCAGCATAGTATCATTTCGCCCACTAGTGCTACGACACTCACTTCGACGTACGACCCAGAGCAAGCCCGCAATCAACACTTCGAATCTCCTAGGCACAAAGCGAAGAATTCGCGATGGACGGAGCATCAAAGGGACCTGGCTAGCAGTGCCACAGAGCATTCAAGTTCGAGCTTGGAGGAATTGAGATCATTGGTAAGTTCCAGCCCATGTAGTACAGCTCGTAACCTCGTAACAGTAACATTACATGTCACATTTACACTTCGACAGTTTCACGCCATGTACGTGGATGGCATACGCCCGGCACGCACTGGATACGTTCGCCTCAACCGGAACCTATTTGAGTCAGAAACTGAATTACTGGGCTGTTACAACGCTAACGTCAATATCAACAGGGACAGTCTGTACAGTCAACCGTAGTGGCTACCATATGCACGTCGATGCCGCAGGGCTTGCGAGACGATCTGACAAATCGTCTTGCTGCGTGCTTAGAACCTGAGGCCCTGAAACCAATCAATACAGCTCAGAACGGCGGTGAGCATGTAGTCCACGCCATGCATTTCTCCTGGTACAATTGTCATTGTACTACTGTAGGTGCAGTATCTCTATTAATTGACGTGCCCTCATCTCAATGTTGCGACTGCAGCTCACCGAGGATTTCGATGGTGGCGAGCTTGTCCTGTATGAAGCAGGCTTAGTAGTACCTCTACGACATGGTGATTTCGCTATCTTTCCTTCTTGCAGCTTGACGCACTTCAACTTACACTACAAGGGGCGTAGAGCATCTATTAATATTTTGCTGCATACTGACAGGGAAATGACCAAATGGCTTGGAGGGCGCAACGGTTGGTCGAATAACAGCAGTTTCATTTGATGTACTATGTAGCTTGAATCGACTACTGGCTGCGTGCTTTCCCATGCTTAATAGCGCTCGGCCGTCACCCGTGTCCCGTGTTCATCGCCGACACTCGCCGGCATCGATTGTTGAAGTTCGTAGCGTCTCGGCAGCTATCGCAGGTGCGTCTCTTTCTTTTTCTCACTACAGTCTACACCTCCGCTGTTCGTTTCTTAGTACTCAGATATGGCCAAGCGCGCCACGAGGTCAGCCGCTACCGAACAAGCCTCCGGCACGGCACGGTCTACCAGGTCGACGAAGACCTCCGCAGCCGCAGGCGGCTCGAAGAAATCGACTAAGCCTACAAAAGGCAAGGCAAATGAAGCGGTCGCCAAGAAGAAGGTACAGAAGAGTAAGGAGGCAGAGAAGGAAGAACATACCACCAGTCAGTAAAATCCGTGAACCCATGAACCCGAATGTTATCGTTGGTTGATGATACGTGTCAGACGTACGCAAGAGGGCATTGAAGATGATGAACGAAGAGGAATTACCGGCCGATGAAGAGCCACGAAAAGCAAAAAAAAAGAGGCGTGCTGGTACGGAGGCCGAGGCAGACGTCGACGAACAGGATAAGCCGGTCGAAGACACTCCGGAGGATGTGGAGATGGAGGATGTGGCGACTAAGCAGAGTAAATCCATTCGACGTACGTGGTCAGATCACTCTCTGCTATACACTACTGATTCGCTTGGCGTATTGGTACTAAGCCAAACCTAAGCCGGCGTACGGGAAATTTGCAAAAGACAGAACTGCTTTGGATGCCGGCGAGGAAGATATTGTGCGGTCATTGGGTACGTTCACTCACATACGCACGATCATTTTGTCTAACCTACGACTCGTCGGAGGCGGTGGTCGCCGTCAAACTGGGGACAAGGCGAGTGGGAAGGTAGGTAGTGCGTCGTGTTATGCACCGAGCTCATTTATTTCAAGACAACTGACATCCAACAGGACAAGGGTAAGGCTAAAGCGACACGCAAGGACGAAGCAGTCGAATCTACCGACGAAAGCGAGGAGGGCGATGGTAAGGTTGACGGTGTCGAGATAGAGAATGAGGACGAAGACGAGGAAGAACGCGAAGACGAAGGCGGAGACGGCGATGGTGAGGATGAAGCCGAGGTGGAGAGCGGGTCTGAAAAGGGGGAGGACGATGATATGATCGAGGAGCAGGACGAGGAGGACGAGGGCGACGTTATAGTGAGTACACCGCCTGCACTATTGGCGGTGATCAGCATAGCACTTACAATATACAGCTGCTGTCTGAAACCAAGGCCAATCAGAAGAGTGATCGTGACAAGCTGACGGCCGGTGAAGGCGAAACTAGCCGTCGCGTCAAGGTCGCCGACTTGCCGAATAGCGTCAAATCTCTCGTCTCGGCAGCGCAGAATTGCCTGCATCTGCGCATTGCCCTCAACTCTGCATGGACGCAGGAAGCATCCGTCACGTCGCAGCGACTCCCCACCAGCTTCAAATTGGTCAAGGATAGCCTCGACGATACACTTACAGGACGCGGTAAGAATGACCAACCTAACGCTGCAATGGAGGAAGCACTGCAGTTGCTGCAGGACGACCGGAAGAAAGTCAGGCTTTCGAAGAAGGAACGAGAGGAACGAGAGGCAATGGAGGCAATGAGAAAGAAGGTGTACACTGTGGTGAGTCAACGATTCCTGGTGGACCAGAAGTCACAGACTCTGATCACCATCAGGTCTGGACGTGCGCATCACAGACGCGGAACGAGCTGAAGAAAAAGGCCAAACAGGTAGTTGAGCAAGTCTTCAAGTTCGGCGGTCTGTCTGTCGCTCAACGCACAGAGGCTGCCTTCTGGCTTCTCGAGACGCACCCTACAGTCGTGAGCGATGGCACAAAAAAACGCGGCATCCCCAACTTCGTCTTCGGGGGCATCGAAATCCATTTCGATCGGAAGAAGAAGCTGGATCGGGAGGTAAGTGCTCAGATCGCACGTTGTGTGTTGAATCCCAGAACGAACTCACGGCAATTTTAGCGTACGAAGGTCGAGCCGAAGGAGCCCTTCCGGGATGAAAGCATCCCGGAGCTTATCTACCAGTACTACGGCCTGGCCGGTCGCCCTGATGCGAGCATCAATGCGGCGCTGGATGACTTCAGGAAAGTCCCACTTAATCTCATAGCCGTCTCGTGTAATGCGGTATGTTTGTGTTTCCATATTCTGGTACATTATTCACGCAGTTATGCATACCATCACAGATAGAGTCAGCACTGATGGATGTGGCATCGCGCAGCCAGCCTACAGTGTTTTCGAACAAGCACTTCGCTCCAAAGTAAGTAGTACATCAAGACTTCAGAGCCCGACAGTGAATGCTAACGAACTCCAGGTGGGATAGCATGATGGCTATCCTAGAGACTCTCGAAGAGAGAGCCAGCGAGTATCTCGAGGTGACGAAGGGGTTGATTTGGAAGCACATCAGGTAAGGTTACGTCTGTGACATGCACAATTACTGACACTACCTACAGCACTCGTCTCAATGCGGGCCCGAACGTGTTCGAGGAGTCTGTAGAGAGTGATGATGAGTCGGAGAGCGGTTTCATACCTCTGCTCGAATTGCAACCGTCAAAGCCGCAGAGCGACAGCAACGAGCCTGGCACGTCGAAGGTGGCGTCGAAGGTGGCGTCGAAGGTCGCATCGAAGGTCGCGTCCACTGGCAAGCCTCCATCGAGCACAGTGAATAGGGCGGGTAAATCGATCGCCTCGTCGTCGAAGACACCTGGGAAGTCATCCAGCTCGACGAAGACACCTGGCAAACCATCCAGCTCGGCGAAGAGCACCAAGACCCCCCCAGCCCTTCGAAGAAACCTCGGAGCGCAGGTGCCTCAACATCGAAGGCTAGGAGCAAACGTCGTGTCGACAGCGACGAAGACGACGAGGTCATCTCAGGCGAGGAGCAGGGCCCGGGTCCAAGCGATAATGAAGGGAGTGGTGGAGTTGCAGGCGATGTAGGCGACATAGCTGAACTTCGGGAATCTGGCGAAGGTAAGTGAATAGTCGCCCATCATGTTACACCAGTTCATTCAGCATGGCACAGAACCTGTCGACGCCGCGTCCAACGATGAGGGTGCCTGAATGCTTCTTACATCAACTCTATTGAGTCTTAGGTTGAGCCGGTTCCAAGGTAAGTAAATCTCTTGTATTCGTAGTCTTCGTTCTCTACATCCAAGCTTTATTCACTCAAATGTCTAGATACCCTATTTCTCACCATTGCTCTCACCCTCACCCTCGCCCTCGCCCTCGCCGTCGCCGTCGCCCTCGCTATCACTCTCGCTCTCGCTATCGCTCTCGTCGCTTTCGCTGCCCCCCTAACTCTCGTCGCCCTCGTCACGGTAGCTATAGTCGCCCTCGTCGCCCCCGTCTCTCTCACACTGCCATCATGATCGTCACCATCACTAGTATCACACTCGCCTGTATGTAGCACGCTTCCTCATGTGCTGGCGCTTACCTCTACTCATTTATTGGCATGCTTGCTGTGCTAACACTCTGCTTGATATGTTGTGTACCACTACCTGTTATGACACTGTATGAGTTTTGAATGCCGATGGATGAACAGCACCATGATGCCAGCTTGAGTGAAATTAAGTAAACTGAAGCTCCATAAGCAGTAAAAAGGAAACCCGTCGTGCTGAAGTGCATTGGTATAACCAGTAGGCTTTTCTATACTTCACTATGAATCCAAACACATTTTTGCTTCAATATGATTCAATCATAACAAAGCTTTCCATTGTTTTACGTTGCATAAGCTAGGCTATTCCGTCTTTTCTAAGCAATTTTAAAAATGGACTTGTGTAAAACAGTCTTCTCTGTCTTCAGACAACTTCACCTCTTAAATGGGCAGAATATGACAGGAAAAGACAAATGAGTTTTTCCTGATGCGAGCAATGGCCGGCCGGACCATTGGCAATGAGCATTGTCCGGCGGGACCATTACCAATGGAGAAATGTTTATGTGGCCAGTGCAATGCGCATGGGTGCACATCACAGTTTGATACAGACAATCATTCAAAGCAGGCCCCATCATGACACAATAATGCATGTTCCCCTTAGCTCCATGCTCAGTTCAGCTAGGAAGAATAAGACTATTCCTCTTGAGGACTTTGCTGTTCATGTTGGATTAAGCCATTCTAGTTTGTCAAACATTGTGGGCAAAGCATATTGGCTTTACAAAGTAAACATAGTTCACATGTATCCCACTCCACCCTTGACACCTTAACTCTGTACTGCATTCAGCTTGTGTGAATAAGACTATTCCTTTGGAGGACTCACTCATTGTGAGGAAATGAATCATTCTAGATAGTCAAACACTATTTGGAAAGAATGTTGGCTGCAGGGAGTGAACATCATTATCCAACATGTATGCCCCTTATCTCCTGTCCTGCATTCAGCTTCAAAGAATAAGACTATTCCTGTTGGGGATGTAGTCTGTGCATTGAAATAGCACATTCTAGATAGTCAAACATTGTGGGAAAAGAAAACTGGCCTCAGGAGTTGAATAGTACGTTCTCAGAGAAGCCTGTGAGCATTTTTTATTTTGTATTCTCTGACCTAACTAGGCATCTCTGTACACTAGGGAACATATACTGTACTCTGTGAATGAAGGGCTACCAGATGATACCAAATTTCCTTATATGGCAATCTGACGGCCCGGCCGTTTTTCACCGAGCTCGGTGGTTTAACCTCGGCCATTTCCGAGCTCAGTGCTTCAACAACAAACTCGGTCATTGAACACTCAGCTCGGCCCTTTAACTGGGCCCCTTAACACTGAGCTCAATGCTTTGATACTGACCTCGGCGGTTTTCACCGAGCTCGGCGCTTGAAACCTCGGCCCGAGCCTCGGCCATTTATCCTCGGCGCCGAGCCCGGCCAATTTTTCTCGGCCACCGAGCCTAGCTGTTTAACCTCGGTGGTTCAATACTGTGCTCAGTGGCTCACTACTGAGCTCGGTGGTTTGATACCGAGCTTGGTGGCTCATCTCTGGGCTTGGTGGTTAAATATTGAGCTTGGTTGTTACAACTAACAATTCTTGTTGTTATATTACTAGTGTATCAGGGGTCTGGCTGGGAGAAGCCTGGCCGGTCGGTTCATCTGGGGTCTGGCTGGATGGTTAGAAACTAGCCCGGCCGGACCATTTACAGCCCAGATTTTGCAAGGCTTCCGGCCGGCCTGTTCACATTGGAAGTTGGGATTTTGCCCGGCCGGACCGTTTCACCTGGGGGCCGGCCAGACGTCCGAAACCAACGCCTGGCCAGGCTGAATCATTGCTGAGTGCTCCGGCCGGACCGTTAGTGATGAGCCCGGCCGGACCGTTGAGAGCCCAAATTTTCGAGGCCTCCGGCTGGGACACTGATCAAAGGTCCGGCCGAAACGTTGGGTATGTGTCCAGCCGGACCGTAGGAAGCCTAAATCTTTCGAGGCCTCCGGCCGGACCGTTGACCAGGGGTCTGGCCGGAACGTTGGATAACAGTCCGGCCGGACCGTAGGAAACCCATATTTCTCAAGGCCTCCGGCCGGTACGTTCACCAGAGCTCCGGCCGGAACGTTACCCAACACTCCGGCCGGACCATTCCAAACCACCACCCTTCCTCCGGCCGGTTCGTTGCTGGCAGCGGCCGCTCCAAACGGTAGACCCGGAGTGCTCCGGCCGAGCCCGGGTCCACCGTTCGAAACGGGCCAAATGCACTCCGGGTGGACCGTTCGAAACGTGATTTCCCACTCATTAGGCTCCAGATGCAGTCAACCATTTAACAAAGATACTTAAAGGAGAGATGACGTACCCATAGCGATGCGGTAGGCAGCCGACTCATCGCTCTTGTCGTAATACCGATTGATGGTGCGTTTCGCCATGCCAATGGCAACACGGATGGCAGGGTCGAGGTCGGTGTTGATCGCATCCGTCGCGAGTTGATGGTCAATCAGGTCCATGGACGGGATCACATCGGTGAGATCCGGAGCCTCCTCGCCTTCACGCGAGAAAAATTGTGTCGCGTCATAGAAGACCTGTAGCAGCCCGGCAAGTCCATGTAAGGTGTGGCAAGTAGCCCCGGCGGGTGAGCAAATGGCCGGGCACACGTGAGGACAGCCGGGCACACAAGAGAACGGCCGGGCACGCGAGAGAACGGGTGAGCGATGCAAAGAGTTGGGTAGGTGGGAGACGAGCAGGCGCGTGAAGAAACGGACGGGCATCGCAGGCGATACGATGGGTGAGCACACGGTCGGGCGCGCGAGTGGTCGGGCAGGCACGAGTGAACAGCGGGCAAGTGAATTGGCGGGTGCGGACAAGTGAGTGGGTGGGCCAACGAACGGGCGGGCCATGCGATTTGTTAGGTAGGAGGGAGAGGAACGTGGGTGTGAACGAACGGGCGGGAGTGGCGCGTAGTTCGTGTGAGTGACGTGGCGAGCAGCACGAACGGCGGGTGGACAGTCCAAGCGGCAGATGTGGCCGGCAGGACAGATGAGCGGGCGTGGCAGGTCGCACGAACCAGCGAGCGTGGCGCGTGGTACGAGCCGGCGAGCGTCGCAGGCGGTACGTGGCGGACGCAGACGACGGGGTGGGTAGTACATGGCAGACGTAGACGACGTGGCGGGCAAGACAAACGAGTGGGCGAGGGGTGTGCGGGTGGAAAAGGATCCGACGAGCGTCGCAGGTGCGATCCGGCGAGCGTCGCAGGTGGTACGAGTGGGCGAGTGTCGCAGGTGGTACGAGCGGGCGAGTGTCGCGGGTGGTACGAGCCGTTGAGCGTTGCGGGTGGTACGTGGCAGACGCAGACAACGTGGCGGGTGGTACGAACGGTTGGGCGAGGGGTGTGCGAGTACAGACGTACCAGGGACGTACCACGAGACAATGAAAGCGTGCCACGCATGCATCCACGGTGGGCGACAGGGCCAGACGATGTGGTGCCACGGGTATCGACGTGCACGTCGAGTCGGGCGCGCCAGCGGGGTGAGCAAAGCGGAAGGCGATCGTGCAGGGCAGGATGGTGGGCCGTCGAGGATCCCGGGTGTTTGTGGAGGGCGATGCATGGAGAGATGGAGGGCGATGCAGAGAGAGAGATGGAGGGCGATGCAGAGAGAGAGCGGGCGGTTGAACGAGAATGGTAAGTGAACTGTGGACCCACAAAGTGACAGAGTGACTCACCACGAGGACGTCACGGAGTTGCGTCGCAATCTCCCACTCCCTCTCGCTCAGCTCCCACCGACGTAGGCCATTCGCCTGCGTCGCCGTCATCTTTTCTATCGCCTCGCGATACTCAAGCACGGCGACCAGCATTCGGAACGTGGAGTTCCACCGAGTGCGGACGTCGCGTGGGAGCTTTCGAAACTCCATCTCCAGCTCTTCTATGGCTTTTCTCCAACTCGGCAACAGGAGCGTCGGCGAGCGGTGGATGGAGACGGAGATTTTGCGCAGCTACCGAGCGAGACACATGGTGAGTTTCTCTTCCTGTGGATGTGATTGATGCTCACCTTCACGAGCATCATCTTCACTGGCCTGACCTCCTCCTCCAGCGACTTCTTCTTCTCCTCGCTGAGATCCTCACGTGCATCCCAAAGGCCGTCGACGTCGTCGCCCTGCTCGTCCTCGATCTCGTCGGTCTCATCGAAGTCGAGATCTTCCATCAACTCTTGAAGTTCTCGGTCGTAATCCGAAAGCTCGGGATCGTCATCGACGCTCGCATCATACTCGTCAGTACCATCTTCGTTTTTCTTCTTTTTCTTTGGCTTGGGTGGCTCGAACTGACGGAGCAAACTCTTCGCCACCAGATTCACGATGTGGCAAAAGCATCGGCTGCGTGCCCGACACCCCGGAAAGCCCAGGATCAACTTCTCCATCTCCTCGATCATCACATCGTTCGACGTCGCGTTGTTGCAGGTCACTCCGAGTATCTACCAGCCAATGTGAGTGTGTAAGATGTATTGCTTTGTGATGTACTGACCTTGGTATCGAGTTTCAGCTCCTCGATCATCTCCGCGAAAGCTGTCGCGAGGTTCAGCCCACTATGGGACACGGGGACCTCGACAACGTCGAGGACAAGTCGCATGGGCACGCCGTGATGCTCAAAGTGTACCGTAAATGCAACCATGGCCTTTTGATTCGGCGACGTCCACGCATCGGTTGCAAAATTCAGGTCACCGTCATAGCCCTGGTAAGTTTGTTCGATTTATGGCCCCGAAACAACAGCTCACTGAGAATGTCTCACCTGTAACAAGCGTGCAACGCGTTCACGCGCCCGTAAGAAAACCTTACGAACATCGCGCCCGACAGTAGTGGGCGACGGGATTTTATACTCGGGGCGCCCAGTCTTCATCAAGCATTGGAACCCGCGGTCGTTGACGATATTGAACGGCTGCATGCTTTCCGACACCCATCGAACGATCTCCGCCCTTGGCGAGTCCAAACTCGGGTCAGATCATTTCTCGTATACAGTAAGTCCTACCCTACCTCGTCTCAGTGGGAGTGTGCTGACGAGTTGAGAAGGTCGTTTTCCCCTTCGATGCTCCTCCGAATGTGAGCGTGATGTCTTGCGTCCGCCTGTACTTCTCTATACATTCTTTCGCCTTCGATGCCAAACCTGTACGATCGGCGGCCTCCAAGGCTTCGAGTGACCAGCAAGCTTTTACATGCTTTCGTAAGTTGCTCGTTGACCTCGCATCGTTGCCATCGAGGTACCGCCTGACGCCTTTTTTACATGCAGTATTCGCGCAGTGGAAGACGTGCGAGCGGCGGCCGTGGACATACTCTATCGATGGATCGGGTTTGAAGAACGCGTATGTTGGTGATGTCCATTTCTTCTGCATCCGCGCTGTGTATCAATTGTAAGTACATCCATAGCATCATCTTGACATTGCTCACCGAGTTCTTCCTCGGCTGTCAGCTCGTCAGGCTCGTCGCCACTCTCGGTAGGCTCACTGACATCCTCTTCGTCTTCAGAGCTGGACAACTCTATCACTCTCGACTTGCTCCCCTTCCGAATGCGTGAGGCCAACTCGTCGACATCCTCAACCTCTTCAATCTCGACAGAGCGCTGCCTCACTGAGGGCTTCGTGCTCGCTGTCGACGCCTTCGTGCTCGCTGTCGACGCCTTCGTGCTCGCTGTCGACGCCTTCGTGCTCGCTGTCGACACCTTCGCATTCGCCGTTGATGCCTTCGTGCTCGCCGTTGATGCTTTCTTGCTCACTGTCGATGCCTTTGTGCTTGCTGCCGAGACCTTCTTGCTCGCTGCCGAGACCTTCGTGCTCGATGCCGAAGCTCCTGTACTGGCTGTTGAAGGCCGAGGGCCTGTGAGGGCTTTGTGGCTACTGCCACTCGTGCTTGACTGAGTGTCAGCATGATTCTCGGTGCGTGATTTCTTTGATGTCTTCGCATCTCGTGGTGGTGACTCAGCTGCTCTTCGCTTCTCTGTAGGGACCTTCGGCCTGTGACTGACACGACTTCCAGACATGGTGGGTAGGTGGATTTCGGAGAGGGGAGACTTGGAGTGGGAGGAGCTGCAGGGTGACTACGGTTGCTGATTGTTACTTAGGCTTACGAGAGCATGCTTGTTTGGGTAAATGTATATTTTATTCTAGCGAGCCCAGGCTTGGCTTGCCACATAAAGTAAGAACCCGAGATTCAAATCTGAGCTGGTGGTGAGTCCCCGGTGGCTCGCCGCGCCGCTTTCCATAAGGGGTAACTGGCGGGTATGGGTGTACTGGATATGGCAACCCCTACCCCTACCCTCGTGTACCCCTACCCCTGACCCCTGCGGGTTGACCGAACCCCTGCAATGCACTAGTGTGCGTTTGTGGGCTCAACTTGAAGAGTCTGACAAAATATACAGGTCAAGGAGAAGCTAGGGCTCTCGTATCATAACACAAGAGCACTCTTGCAAAAGGTTGACTCCCTACCGGAGCGTGCGCGGTGGAAGGAACATTGGCTTTCGTTCAAGGATCGACCTGGCGAACACCACCTTCTGCAATTTCGCTGCATTATTGAAGCCATCAAGGCTTTGCTGGGCAATCCGGCTCATGCCGACCACATTGTCTATCGACCGAGCTGGATGTTCTCGGACGAGACGAAGAAGAACCGCATATATTCAGAGATGTGGACCGGGAAGTGGTGGCACGCCGTACAGGTGAGTATTGTATTGATTACTCAAAGACTATGACTAACGTTGCCTTGGGCGCAGAGTCTCCTACCTACTGGCGCAGCATTGGCCCCGGTCATCATCTCGACGGATAAGACT